TCTATCTGAATCTAACAAATTGTGCAACCAAGATGCTCAGAAAATATTTTACAAAATATATTATAAAAAAATTAGATTTTATACCATTACAGCATTTATACTTATCCAAACATTAGCATTATCAGAATTATGATTAAAACATTTCTTGAAATAAAACTACAAAAGTTGTGTACAGTGTTCTTTAAAATATCACCAAATTAAGAAGAATATAATTACTTTCTACTTTTGCAAATACAAAAAGAAAAAGCATGTGACTTGTAAGATAATCTGGAACTTTGATTCTGAATCCTAATTCCAAATAAGAGCAGTGATATTAAGTATACAGGCTGTATGCAGAGTTCACGCTTTTAAAAAATTAAATATCATGTGAACCTAAAATAATTTTTGTTCTACTAGTGAGGTCTTCTAAAATTGAGCTAGCTCATATATTACCGGCCTGAGGCAAATTTAGCAGAGACTTTTCAGAAGTAAGACTGCAGCTGAAACAAATATAAAACGTACCCACTTGGACTTTTTAATGGATCTGGTTTTGCCGGTGTGGGATATTAGCTTTTACCCGTTAATCTCACAGTTCTCGGGTCTGTATTTTCAGAAGGGGCCACAGCATCCTGTATCTTTTCAGGACCTTAGGACAAAAAGACCTGGACCAGAGTCTTGCTCATCCAGCTGGAGGTACCCAACTAGTTTTCTACAGGTGTCGATTTTCTCCTTTGGAAAAGCAAGAATCCATGAGATGGTATTCCCTAAAGCATTTTGCAAACCCTAAATGTTGTCTCAAAAATGAGGTAATATTATCATTATTTTCATACCTCACAGCCTAATAAACTTCTAATCACCAGGTTTTACTTGCTTCTAAATGTATCCATAGTGCTATTATTTGACACAAACAAATTTTAGTGTATTAACTCTGATTAACCTTCACAGAATCCCTTTTGGCAGTGTTATTGATTATAATGTCTTTCTTCTTGACCTTTCTGGACCTTCTGCATCTATCTGTAATCTGGTTTTTTTGTATCTAGGAAATAAATTTCTATCCTTTGATCCCTGTTGATATCTTAAATCATAGCTTTTGGTCAACTGTTTTTTACACTTCATGTGATATTTCAGTAAGAAACACAGTGGCAGCAATATGAAGTCTATTTCTCTTTTTAAATTATTTTTTGCTGTATCTGACACCATCTTTAGCTCTAGTCTTACATGCTTCTGCTAAACCTTTGACGAAATTTTGAGTTACATTAATTTAGGAAGCGATCCTATTTATACAGCATAACATTTTATATCTTTCTTCCTTTCATGTGTTGTAATTTTCAGCCATACCACAGAAGTACGATTTGTGTTATAAGTTTATCTTCAATTAGTTTCCATGCTCATGATAATCTCCTAATGGTTCTCTCACCATTGGCTGAAAGAAAATGATCACAATATTATGAAAAACAAGGGTGCTAATGAATGAGAGAAGTGTTACGAAAGGCCAAACACTCCTCCTCGTAAGATACAGTTCATACTAAATACGAGTAAAATATAGGAAGCTATTATCATTTATTACTTAACACTGAGCAAATAATTATGCAAAGGGAGTTGTGTCATTAAATTCTATTTGTGCCCAGAGAACCAGCTCTCAAATGCTGGTCCAGTCACCTGCTAGCAACTCGCTGCTGGGCAAGTTCATTAATCTTTCTTAAGTTGAGTTTTCCTATCTCCAGTGGAGGTGATAATGAAAACCGCCTCACAAGGATATGGGGAGAATTAACATAATACATTTTAATTACCACTAACACAGTGCATGCCATGTAGTAGGCATGCAATAAAAGTTAATTATTTTATTATGTAACAGGATTTCAGGCTATTGCAACATGCCTAAATAAATACTGCAGTATGTGTAGTTATAATTTAATTTCAATACTTAATTTGACATTACGAGTAGGTTAGGATTTACAAGACTTAATCTAACAAGTTTTCATGGTTACTAGCTATCACAAAACAGGTTAAAAATGAAACATAAATATGCCAAAGATAATGAATATAAAATAAGTAATGTTTATATATTAATTAAAAATATTAATATAAATATCTATATATTAATATAACAACATTAATATAAAATAATTTAAAATGTAATAAAATATGAAATGCTTGCTGTTGTTATATTGTTAAAGGATGTAACTTTTCTTTCCTAAAACTGTGTTGATGCCAGTAATGATGGTGATAGTAATTTCTATTTTATGATGCCCATGTCGTATTTGGCACTGGGCTTGGACATACACAAACATCTTGTATGATATGTTATCTTGCAAACAGCTCTGTTGGTCAGGTGTTAATGCCTCGTATTTCATTTGTAGTCACAGACCTGGAGAAGCGGAACAGCATGTCAAGTCTCCTGGTGACTCAGAGGAACAGCCAGGATGTGGGCAGGGCCTCTCTGACCACCATCCTGCTCTCCCCACCTGCTCTGTGAGGCCACATGCAGGAATGACATGCAGACCTGGGGAGAAGCAACGAGAACCAGAGGATCCCAGATGCTCCTGTGACTCTACAGGCTCTTACTCAGAAGTGGGTGGTAAATGTCTGTTCTCTAAGCATCCTGGGATGTCTCGTTCCAAGCTCATTATAGGTCTCAGCCACAGGGTGGGACATTTGCTTGGAGTGTCCCAGGGCCCAGAGAAAGAAAGCCAGGACCCAGAATCACCAATTGCAAGGCCTGTCCCTGCACTTGGCAAAGGAGAACACAGAAGCTCAGAGGGCAGTCAGTGGGTTTCAGGTTTGCATGATTATGTGGCAGCACAAGATCCCTGTCCTCACGCTGTGACTGTCAATCTGTTCCCCAAAATAATCCAAGGTTCAGGTCCTCTAAGCTTTCAACACGTGAAACTTTACAAGCAGGGTTTCATGGAGAGGACTGACGGCTCTAGGCCAGCGTCCTTAACTGACTGAGCTGAACCACTTCCATTTTTTAAATTTCACTCATTTCATTAAAGGATTTAAATAAAGGCTTGGTCACAATTTTCACAGGTGTAACTGGGGAAGTCTTTTCATGAAATTTCAGTTTTAAAATGGTAGAGTAAGGAAAGATTCTTGAATCTTTTATAATTGTTCATACTTGTACTTGAAATCATCAACTGTTTCTTTTTCTATCAGCTGCTTTAATATGCAGGAAATTCAGGTTCTTATACTTTCCACAAACATGTCCTTTAATGTGTAAATGACATTTCATTATCAGACTATCATTTTTAACAAGCTGGAACTCAGAGAGGCAGCTGAAGGATAACAATTAAGGCACTGGAAGAAGGAAGGGGAAGCAAACGTGAGACCTTCTGCCACGACCTCACAGTGACTTTGGGTGGGAGGGACCATCACCCCCTTCTCAAAGGAGGAGACTGAGACTCAGAAACATCACCTGACTTGTTATCCAGCTAGACACTGGCAAGCAGACGATCACTTCATGACTCCAAAATCAATAAATTACCGATACTTACAGCCAATAATTACCTATAGTTATTATCTTGATAAAAGACCTCCTTTAAAAACACACACACTAGAATATGAGGACCAAGGATGCTGCTTTAGCTAAGTAACTATTATCTTAAAATAAACTTCTTAGAAATTTAAATGACGGGATACACTTTCCAAGCAATCCAAAGAAACCAAGCCAGGGTGGACCCCGTGGCTCACTCGGGAGAGTGCGGTGCTGGTAGCGCTGAGGCCACAGGTTCAGATCCTATATAAGGATGGCCGGTGGGCTCACTGGCTGGGCGCAGTGTGGGCGACACCAAGCCAAGGGTTATGATCCCCTTACCGGTCACATACACACACAAAAAAACAAAGAAACCAAGCCAGTCCTTTGTCCTGCTCAGACTCCTCCGTGGGCATGGGCCGGTGTTCCTGCCTTCAGACAAACAGACACTGGGATGCAGGAGAAAAGCTGTATGAGAAGGAAAACAAATGTTGTGCTTCTCCTGTAAAGAAGCAGATGCTCCTTTGTGCCACAATAACACTTTCCTGGAAGTGGACTGCCAGTAGGTTCAATGTGGTGGGAAAAACAAGAGCAAAAAGAAACCACTAAAATACCTAAGAACTGATATTATTAGTCTCATTGGAGACGTGTGATATTTTTCTGGATTTGAGAGATGAGGTTATATTTGTTTTAGAAACCATAATTCTGTAATAAATAAAACAATAAATGCATTGGCATTTTAGAAAGACCTTCAGTTTTTACATTTATAATCAGATGTGTCATGCGCGCACACGCACAAATTCCATTAACTACATAGAGATATGCTACACTCTTTCTTATAATAATTTTTTTCTTTCATTAAATTGTTTTTGAATGTAGTTATTGTAGTCAATTCACAATAGGGAAATGAATGATGTTAACTTTTTTCTGAATACTTTGTACTGCAAAGTGTTTAAAATCTAAGGGACAAAGTCAACTCAGGCCATCCACCCTGTGGTTTTCCAAGCAGGTGAGACAAGCTTTCTGTGGGAGTACAGACCCCAGTGCTCAGACATCACGCCTCCAGGAACAGGAGACGATACACTTCAGCAAAGAATAAAGTCATCCCATTAGAATGGTTTTCCTAGAACATGTGAGTGTTCATAGATATATCCTTCACATTTTAATAAATAATTTTAAATTTCAGCATCTGAAATGTCATGAACATATAATTCTAAACTGTACACTAAGATTTTTCATGGTTTGAAGTTAGTTCAAGCTGATTTGCAAAGAACTGTCTCTATAATCAATAATAAATTCTATTACAGCTACTACAACATCTTCGCTAGTGTGAAAGGGAAGAAATCTAATTGCAAATCCCAATAAGAAAAGTCTCCTTGGGTCTGGTGCAATATCTGACAAAGTACCTCATATCCCTCTTTCTCTCTCTGAATTTCCCAAGGCTATCTGGGGTGAGTGGATTTTGCATCTCACAAAAGCAGGCTGTACAGCACACAAAAACATCGCTTAGCCTCAGGAAGCTGGGGATGGAAGTGCTGCAAAGACCTACTGGAAAGATCAGCAAAGAAGGTGCCCAGGCAGACCTTCTCATGCTGACCATCTCCACTGGAACATTCTCCCTGTCTCTCTGCATCCACTCTGTGGAGCCCGTGCCAGGGCAGCAAGTGGGGTGAGTGCCCCACAGTGTCCAGGCTCAGTCGTTCTTGCAGCAGGAAGAGCAAAAGGCAGCCTTCTGAAAAGAGCTTGCACAAGGGGAATTTTATTTGACTGTTTAGTGTTTAAAAGTGATATGACCTGCTAAGGCCGGAGCAAAACAAAACCATAAGTTCTCTTTTATCGCCTCGGAATTGGTACCAACTTGCTCTGACAATAGCTCTACATGCTTTCTCAGTCCCCAGAGTGTGGCAGGTTCATCCCGCATTGTAAACCACGGTGTGGGCCCAGCATGGTGACATTATTCCATTTCCCAAACCAGATATAGAGACCAGTTAAGCAGGCTGAAGTTTCTGTAATAGCTCAGAAATCAGAACTGAAAAACTCTTGGGGCAGTTTATCCCATATGTGAATACTTAATCCAAGAAGCCTCCAGGCTACTCTAAATTTCCACTATCTCCTCTGAACATTCTTATTAACCAGAGAAACTTGTCTAATTCACAGCATTGGGTATGTGCAGAGCATCTGGTGCCCGAACATGTTGTGTTTACAGAGCATTTAATGTTTGTAGAACATCTAGTGTGTGCCAAGAATCAAATGTTTGCTGATCTAGTGCTTGAGAGAACCCAGTGTGTGGACGTCATGTTTACAGAGCATTTAGTATCTGCACAGCATAAAGTGCTTTCAGAACACCTCGTGTGCGCAGAGCACTTCGTGTTTGCAGAACGTCTCGTGTGTGCAGAGCAATTAGTGTGTGCTCACTCTGGACTCCCAGCTCTGAATTGTGGACTGGGGGTGAGAAGGAAGTGACTCACCACGTTACAGCCTGCACAGTCGGGCCCATTCTCACAGGTCCTGCGGCGAGCTTGAATGCCGCCCCCGCACTGGGCTGTGCACCGTTCCCAGGGACCCCAGCCTGTCCAGAACACATGAGGGGGGCACAGCAAGTGCTCATTGCAGTATCTGTAATGGGCAAACCAAGAGGAAAAGGAAACTGTTCAGCACCGCATGAGACCACTGACCTTTCCACTCTCCGCCCCTGCGCCAGATGTTGAACACATGGGCATGCTCTGCGTGGAGGGGCTTTGTATTCGGAGTGGTTGCACCATACAGGAGGCAGATGTGGCACTGGCCATGCTGTGTGCACACAGACAATGGGATGCATGGCAGACAATGAAGAAAATGCTAAACTCACAATGCAGGATGGATCTTCCTGTGCAGCCAATTAAAGGAGAAACAAAACAAAACAAAACCCTTCAAACAAACACCCAAAAATAAGAGCATATAGAAAATATCGAGGCAGGGCATTTATCTTCTAAACATACACACTGAAAGGTAAAGTAGGTTATGAATACAAAGTCAGCATAGCTTTATTTGGAATTCATTTCTCATTCTTGAATCAAGTAAGTCTCACAATCTTATTAGGACAAGTTAAAGAAAAGTTAACACATGAGTTTAGCATGAAGGCCCATGCTCTATATCGCTTAGGTTATTATATTTTTAGATTTCTTTGTAGGCTTTCAGAATGATGCCAAACAACCCTCATGTAAAAGATGACCAGTTATTCAAAATTAATTAAATTATTGTACAATTTTACAAATATTAGTCCTAGTTTTCAGTGAATGAATACACATCTATACATCTACATACACATTTTGCCAGTTTTTAGCCAAATACCCAAAGCCTCCTTTGGCCCTATGATGGGTCACATTTCTCTTTGATCTTTAATACTCAAGTGAAATGAAATGAAGTGAGGGAAACAAACAAAAAACAAGAAGGACACAGCACTATGCAGGTTACAGCTCACAGGGCAGAAGTCACTCTGAACACAGCCACATTTAGTGAGACACAGTGGGTGACTTACAGGACTGTTTAAATTCAACAGTCCATCTTCTAAGCCCAAATTTAGCTTCTAGAGAATACTAGAATGCAAGCCTTTTTCTACGGTCTTCCTTTCTTGCCAGGCCATCTTCCCTAAGAATCAGGAGGCAAAGGTTCTGATCAGCTGGCCTACGTCGGTTGCCTTTAATATCATCAGTGTTAACAAAGTCCATCCTTCAGGGCACCAGGCAAAGGGAAGTACAGAGTGCTTCCTGATCACAGGTGTTCATGGCCCAAGAGGAACACGGGGAAATGGACACAAGCTCGGGATGTGCAGGACAGAAAACACTATCTTGACGATCAGTGCATCGGTGCATTTTATACATGCAAAGGAAATGCATTTCTGAACTAGAAAATAAGGGCAAATGGTATCCAACGACCCGGAAAAGGAATTCGGGGAGTGTAGCTTCCTAACAGCAAATGCTGGCAAGATTCAATTGTTTTTCCATCAACCAGAAAATCTTCATGGAGAAACTGAGGGCTTCAAGAACAGGTGTAGCACGGAAAGTAGAAAGCAAGGCCAAGCTGAAGGGCGCAGGAAGGATGAGGCTCTCTGAGCACCTGCTGTCACTGAGGAAGAGAATGGAAGGCAGAAGTGGGACAAGTGACATAAGAAAGGTAAGAAAGGTGACCGAGAAGACAAGAACAGAAAAAGGTGACAGGGAGTGGAATGACCTAACTTTACCACGTAGGGTAGAAGGACTGGAACTTTATTTGTAAGCAATCAAGAAAGTCCTACCAAGTCCAGAGACAAAATAGCACCATCAGATTTAGACTGAAGACTCATCTCCAGGGGTTGGTGTCTCTTCCTGATGGTGGCCTGGGGCCCCTGAATTTGAGGAGCTCCCCATGTTTCATTATGGGGTCTGCACCTCCAAAGGCAGGCAAGTCCACCCACAGGAAGAGCTGATGGAATGAATACCAACCCCAGAAATGCAGATCGCAACCAACCAAGTGAGAGATGGTCTAAACCAGATAAATAAGATGGTGGGGAGAGGAAAGAGGGGGAGGAATAGATATCGATGAAGTTTGGCGTAGTGGAATTGCCATATGGCAACTGTGCGGAAGTACAGGAAAACACACACACACATCAACAGTGCAGTCCAAAGCCAGCCTCTCACCTGAAAGTGGGGGACACTCTGACTTCCAGGGACAGTTGACATGTAGTGGCCCAAGGAACCTCCAGAGAATCCAGGACCAATCAGGCAAACAGTTTAGGTTTCTACACTTTCACATACAAGAGCAGCCAATGGAACTGAACCACCATCAATCTTCATCTTTTCGAAGCTTATGGTAACAGAGAAATGTAGGTTTCCCTCTTGAGGGAGTACCTACAGTCTCCCAGTGCCCGGCCTCTCAGAGCCATTGGACATTCTTATCTGCTGTAGGGAAAGGAGAGGAGACTCCTAACTGAGAGAGGATGGCCTCTAGATAGAAGAGCCAAGACAAAAGTGAAGATAGGAGAGAATAAAAGAATTTGACCTTAGGGAGAAGATGCAAATGTGTGGAGATACTAGCAGTAAATATTACCACATGTGCTGGTGCAAGCAGTATTCTAGAAGCAAATTGCCATTTATCTTCAGAACACATTTTGGAAAAGTCAAGAAAACTCAGAACACTGGAACTCTCAGCATTTAATTCAAAATATCCACATGTAGCACTGTGGGTAGAACGAGAAATAGAAGACCACATCCCGTTTCCAAGCTGATTCACCAACATTTAATAGGTATGGGCTTCCTACACTCCCTAATTTCAGCTTTCAAAACCAAAAACAAACAAGCAAATAAAGAGAGGGAGCACAAAGGAAAATCTTACAAAAAATGCTTATAAAACCCTTGGCGTTCAATGAAAAGCACAGCAACTCAGCTACCATTTCTCCATATCAAAATAAAGCATAGTGCCTAAATACTTTCTCATATTTGTCCACAGCAGGCCACTTCTCAAAATCCTCAGCATGTTATTATAGTTAAAAATCTGCAGCACAGTAACCTGGGCATGTAGCGTGAACTTTCAACCAGTGTTAATAAATTATCTATTTGTCTGAATTTCAAGGTTGTCAACAACTTGCCTTCCCTTTTCTTCTCTTTATCCTTCTGCAGTAGTCCTCTGAAACAAGCCTCCCTGGCATCTGGTTAGGTGTCAGCCTCTGAGACTGCAAGATCTCTCATGAGAGGAGGTCAGAGAGACACAGAAATTGCTCGCCTAGCTCTGACCCTTTGTGTGTGCATTCTCACTAGAAATCTAACCTGGAAGAGACTGCTTGAAGGCAAAGCCTTTCCAATCCCCTAATTATGAATTTTCTGCAATGGTGAGAAAGCAGTTTCCCTCTGACCCCCTCCCCAGCTCCACCCCAACCAACTCTTGCTCCTGAGAGACGGTCCTCTTATTAAACTACCCAAACAACATTGGGTATGCTAGTTCATTACCTTGGCATCTCTGCTTGTTTAAGGATTTTTCTTAACTTATGGATAAAACATCTACACAATGGGCCTAATGGTTTTGAAATTTTATTGGCTCTCTTGGTTCTCTGGTATTTCACAGCATTGAAAATCACAGATGCATTTCATGATGCATTAAAAAATTAAGATTTTAATTTTGCCCTTGGCTGCTTATTCTTATTATGCATGTAAAAGCTAATTAATGATCCAGCATTGTTTCTCCATAAATTATCCATTTTTCTACAAACCTAGTCTCTGTGAAAAGAATCTTTCATAATCCCATATAGACTGGGTTCTCAACACTCTACCCTGTTTCTTTCCTATTTTTTATGCTATAAATAGTGTTCTGTTCCAGTCAAATCCTTGCTAGTTTCTCTCTGTAACCTCTGTTAGCCTGAACCAATCAGGGCCTTTTCAGAACTATTTTCTCTATGGTTCACTCTAAGTGATCATTCTTTTACTGGGCCATACTGGAATAGTTAAATATTTTATGGCATCAGAGAAACTGTACGTACATTAAGTCTACCATGATAGTTAAGGCAACCCATTAGGGTAGAGTAATAACTTGCAAAGAGCATCGCTTTGGCTCCCCCAAACCCATTGGTTCCTAGGACCCTTAACTTTGATAATGCACGGGGCAGACTCTAATGTGGCTCCCACCTCCTACAATTCACAACTTGTGTAATCCCCTCCCACTGACTATGGGTGGGACCTGTCACTTGCTTCTCAACAACAGAATATGTCAAAGATGATAGGATGTCACTTATGTGATTAGGTCACATAAGACGGTAATAACCTTATTTCAGTAAAACTCTCTTTCTTGATGGCATTGAAGAAGTAAACAATCAGGTCAGGAAGGCCCAGGTGTCTAGAGATTGAGGGCAGCTTCTGGCTAATGACCAGCAAGGAACTGCTGAGACCCTCAATCGGCCAGCCCGCAAGGACCTGAAGGATGACACCACACGACCTGGGAAGCAGCTTCCTCTCCAGTTGGCCTCAGATGAGACTGTAGTCATGGCCAGAACTTTGACTGCACCTTATGGTAGCGTGAAGAACCCAGGTGAGCTGTTTTAGACCACGAACCCACAGAAACTGCGAGAAAATAATGTGGTGCTTAAAGCAGCTAAGTTTGTGGTAGTACTGCTACGTAACAACTATTAAAACAGATTTAGGTACCTGAAAGTGCAGTACTACCATGAAAAACACCAAAAAAATGTGAGAGTTGCTATGAGACCAGGAAACAGACCAAGAAGAATTTTGAGGATTATGGCAGCAAAAACTTAAATCACCTTAAACAGGCAGTTAGTAAGAATCTGGACTTGGAGGACACTGCCATGAGAGTTTAGAAAGAAAGTATTTTGTAAAGAGAGTTTATAAAAAACTAAAAACTGCACACCAAAAAGACTAATAGTGTATTCACCACAATAAAAAAAAGAGAAAAAAAAAGAAGTGAGGTAATGCCCATGTTAATTAGCTCAATTTAGCCATTCCATGATATATACGTACTTCAAAACAACATGTTGTACACAGTAAGTATACACAATTTCTATATGTCAAAAAAATAATTAGTTAATTAAAAAGAAAGACCGGGCTGGCTGGTTAGCTCAACTCATTAGAGTGTGGTGTTGTAGCACCAAGGTCAAG